CTTGGTTCAGCAAGTATCAGCGATGACAGTGATAAATCATCGCATTTCCGAAAGTGTTGCATGTAAAAGGTTTTGTGTCGCTTATTTATCTTATGAAGGCCCATTCTAACACTCCATGCTATATGAATGTTCAGTTAATGCAATCCAGTTAACAGAGTGGATACAGTCCTTATATTTCTTATGCCCAGTAAGAATGAGTGGTTCTAGTTTTCTCTCTTAAATCAAGGAAATGGAATATTTCTTAGCCATTTTGATTTGAAGTTTGTAATAAAAGTACAGATCAATATATTACCACTAGTAACAAGGAAACGACTACATTTGATTACTTTTCAGCTCAAATAAACAGATTAAGCTATCGCTCAACCTTTTAGAGTTCATGAGACGACAAAAAGTGACCAACAGGAAACTATCTTGCTAGATTTCACGCTTGGTGATATTCATCACCGAAGTGTTTGCGCTTTAAGTATATTTTGCTGCTTTGATTATGCAAGCCTCGATAAGTCAGCACACAATAATAGACTTTGCAATTAAGCTATTAAAGTGTATTATTTTGTAAAGTTGCAGTCATTTAAAATCTGTGACGTGGGACATCTATTATCAAACATATTGTCGTGAGCTATATGGAATCTTTGTTCATGTGCATGACAATAAAGCAAACCTTTGGCAAATACCAATTTTTGACACCATCAATATTCTGCTATCGCGATCAAATCACAATGCAGACTGCTTGTCTGTTGTACAAGTATAAACCTTTTATCCCACCCTTTCACTCAATGTAAAACAGTGAAAATAATACCGGTAACGTGTACCTTTTGCTCAAAATAAGTGTAAAGGAGTAATTATTATTTAAGACCTGTTAATTTTGATGTTTATTCCGATACACTGAAATTTAGTTTCCCACATTAGTCAAACAACTGGTGAAATCTGTAAATATGCTATTTGTTTAGGCCTAGAATCCTCTTAACATAAAATAGTCATGATTAGCAACTAGACACATACATGGTCTGAAAACAATGCAAAAAAATGGATTGTGTGTACATATTCACTAAAAATAATATTTCTAATAAATTGATTCTCTCTATAATGCATAAATTTTTCATGAGTACCAAAGATAAAAGTCTTGGGAAGCACCGTAACAGTTTGTTATAAGGGTCATATTATGCTTCAGCAGTTATTCAAGTTGAGATTTGAAGTTCTGATTGCTAATTAAACATAATTTTATCACCATAAGGCCAAACACCTACTAATTTTATAGAAGATCAAGTTTAAGAGGGATATCTTTGAACTCAGGTAGTTTAATGTGTACGTTTATTTATACAGCAAATGCTCACTGACAAATATTTAGTTTCAACTTAATAGTAACCGCCAAACCATACTTGTAGGAGTATCTAGTCGCCTTTTTTTGCAACATTACATTTACTACCAGTCTGCTTCAGTAATAAAACATGGAGTTAAATTGTTCTTTTTACTAGAACGCTATTATCCGATCGAAGAAAACATAATTCTTAAAAATCTCAAAGGAGTAGTTTAGAAAAATACACTAATAAGCTTAATTTGTACATATTTTTAAGAGAAAAGATTTTTAACGACAAAGCAAAACCAAGCTTGCTGCATAAAGTGTTTTTTTTTTAAATAAAACAGTTTGTAAATTTCGACTATTGCATCATCCTCAGAAGCAGGCAACACAATTTTGAAATGATCCAAATTATTGATAGCCTATTTCATCTAGACGAAACAATTTTGTCTTTATGTTTGCAAATAAATTGAAAATCTTCAGTTGAAATCCTCTAGTATATCTGTAAGGTGTTTGCATTCTAACCAAATAAGCGAAGAAATTCAACAAAACTTCAAACTAGTGTAGACATTAGTGGCAGGTAAATCTGGACATTTATTAAAAATATCTGGTTGTAGTTCTATTGAAAACAAAGTACAAAATTGTTCTGTTTCTTATTTTCAAATTGTTAATTCCGAGATTGAATTATGGATGGTTTTATGAAACACTTGGCATCTGAGTATTACAGGATCCAGAGGTTAGCAAATAACTAGAACGGAAGTGATCTGCGATTTTCAGGAGTCATTGATTTGTTACTTCATAGAAAAGCAGACCTCATTTTGAATGCACAGTCTGTATTTTTAACTTCGTGGTTTCATGTTGGTACTTATGGTTATTACTGCGCAAAGTTTCGTAGTTTTATTTTCTAGATAGCATGACCAGGAAAATTTATTTTTACTGTTTCCATGAAGATGATCATATAACTTTTAAACTTTGATTTATGACTATAATGCTTACCGTTCTCAGGTCATTAGAGTTGCCGAATTTTTAAGTATTTCAAGAGATACAATTAATCAGTTCAATTGGAAAAAGTAGTTGACAATTTGAAAAACACTGTACGAAACATACTACTGATTAAAATCAGTAGTTCTAGACTTAACTTTTATCGGGCCTTACCAGTCAGACTAAAGTGATCTAAACACCTGACATGTATTTTAATCGTTTGAGGTTTCTCATCAGAAAACTGTACATTTAGCTGATGTGTAGTTTGATTCTAGTTTGATGAATGACCATTATGAAATCAGAAGAATGCATATAAGAGAACAAAGTTGTTTCCAATTGGCTCTCATCAGGGTTTATGCTAACATACATTAGTTTTATGTATGTTTTGTATCATACATTATATATATTTATATTATATATTGTAAATTTTATATTATGAAATCAGCATCATGCTTCGAGTAACCGAAGTGATTTATTTCTTCACCTATTATATTGTCTTTTCTATCTGCGTTTATGCCGGTACATGCTTAAAACAGGTGAGTTTTTCCGTTCATAAACTAAGGTATATGAAAGTCTAATAAGCTGACTGACACATTACAATATCTTCAACCTTACAGCCACTGAAATGACATCTTGTCGATAACGTTATTTTGCCTCATCTTATTAACAGTATTCTCCAGTCCACAATGTTTGTCAATTAATGTATTTGAAGAAGTAAATGAGATTTCAACGCTATCCAATTTCAAAACTTTACCACCATTTTGTCGTGTCTATTTCAAATTTGGCTATGATGTAAGTACTCAGTTTAAATATTTTCATGTTTCGAAGAATGTAAGCTGAGCCTAAAATGTCACATACTTATTTCCTTTTCATGTGTTTTTGACACAGTTGGACCTTAAAATAATGCATAAACTCTAAGTTATTTCCTCAATACTTCAAAATTCGTATCGAATTAGGTTAATAAAGTAACTAAATTTTTCTCTGCTTCATGTCATATTCTCATGATTAAGGTCGTTAGTGATCAGTATAATTGTATTTAGGAATCTCACTCCATGATATTTCCTTAGGCAATATAAAAAGTGTCAAAAGAAATGTTAGATAAGGAAAAGCTTCAAAAAATATGACTGCATAAGGATGTTCTAACCAGAAGAAACATATCAACATAGGTGAGAATTAGTAACCAGTTATCAAACTGCTGGAAGTGACCACAGTAGCCTACACGTGGTCTTCATTAAAACATCTAGGTAAAGGTTTAAAATTATTTATTAACCTTTAAGTATATTGTGTCCAACTAAATCCTCTGTCTGATCCTATTATGCTAACTATAAGAAGCATCGTAACTAAAGGAAGAGGTGAATTAAATCGATGAAAGTGTACCAGAAGCTTTCACATATTCACTGGCCTAAATTTCAAACTTCATAAACTGTTCAGTAAACCCATTGATAAATCATCGCCTACAAATTTGCTGGAACAAACAACCAGTTTGACTTTTACTTTGTACTATCAGCTTAAGCTATTCAAAATTTTTCGCACCACTTTATCTTAACCTTCTGTTGAGAAATACAGGCTGTCATCACCAATTCGTAAAGTAAGAACACTTCTTTGACTGAAACGCTTACTAAAATGCACAAAAACTATCTATTTAACTTTACAAAACCAGTCATTTCGAAAAAGAAGGCTACGCAGACCTCCAATTTGTGACAAGTTATTAATGGCAAGTGTAGGTTGCTCCGTAAAGAAGTATGTTGATTAAAGCGATTTCCCAAGGTCTGCCCTAAATATAACAAAGCTGGCACTTCAAAAGATACGAACTGTCTTCATACACATGTACTTAATTTAAAACAAAGCAAGTTTTGGCATTCAGTCTCAACCAGTAATGTTAATAATATGTGGTAAGTTCCAATCAAGTGTTTTCGAAACCAAAACTAACCAACCGAGAATAATTTACGAAATAATTTCGTTGTTCGTGTTTACATAAGCATTTACTCAGTTAGTTTAATTGTCCTGAAGAGATTATTGTGGACAGTTCTTATTGTAGTCAGAAGTAGATGGGTAAAAAAATTTCCTACACGTTAGCCGTTACTTATGGCAAAAGAAAGTGCAAATGAATGGCTGACCTCATTACCATTATCTTCAAAACGTAAAATTCCTTATTCCCTGAGTGAAAATATGAAAATTATAAACCTTAACATTCACGCAAAAATATAGTTATATAGTTAAGTTATTCCAATTACTGTTAACCAGAAAAGTGTGTGGATTTGTGCGCTTCAGAAGAGCTTGCAGCCAAAACTATGACATGATAGAAAGTGAAGACCCAAAGGCTCACGTTGTTGCCACTCCCTGAAGTAAATATACATTGACTTCTATTTTCAACATGCCATAATTTTATCAAAAGGACATCGTTTTCATTTAAAATTTTAAGAAAACCCTAGAATAACTGAATTGTTTTCACACAGGATGCAACACGTACTGTTCACTTATTATTCAAAGATATGTCAAATTAGGAATTCCTAACATCTACCATCAATTGTCAAGGAACCTTGTAAAAAACTATTATTACTACTGCTGGTTAATATTGTGTCTGATGCGATCTGATTAAATTCAAATTTTTCGGTAATGGTAAGTAAATCATGTGACTTTCAGGTGTGTTCATAAATTTCAGCTGGAATTGGATGCATTAAATGAAAATAAAATTGCAAATGGATAATACAGAAAAAGAACTAACCTGAAATACTAGGATTTTTATTCATCTATGAAACAGTTTTTTTTGAATGAGAAGCATGAGTAGCTTCGTCGGATAATTGATGAAAAGTGATTTCTTATTAATATGTACCTTGAAGTGACCAATGAAAACTCAAGGAATTATCACCCAATCATCATTAGGATTTGTAAAAGTCGTCTGGTTTATAGTCCTTCAGTAGAATGACTACTATTTCCTACTGATAAATTTAATTAGAGACTGATAAAAATATTAAGTATGCATGCCTTTATACTTGCTGGCTTATGAATGATGAACAGTGCACGATGTATTAACCTTCCTTATTTACTAAAGCAATAGAATTATTCTGAGTATATAATGACGGAAAAACTGCACAATTCCAAATATTTCCCTAATTCCTTGGATTTCATATGCTAACTTAAAATGATCTTCGAAAAATTAGTTTAGAGAAACTATGTAGTGCCTGCTGATACAGCACGTATTATATTCTGCAAACCTGATTTTAGCTAAGCGTTTTTCATATCTCTGTAGTGAGAAATATTTATGTTCAGAAACCAATAAATGTGCTTAGTACTGCGAAGTCCGATTCTAAGACAAAACGGTTGTCCAGTGCTCCCAGGTCCTTGGCGGTTCATCAAGTGGTGTCACTGTTTCATGAGTACCACCATGAAGTAGCATTTAAGTTACATTTATGTATTGCGTAATCGTCTTAGATCGTGGATGCAGTAAATGTTTGTCAAAAAGGAAGACTTTTGACACTGATTTTATCTGTGCACTATGCGTATAAGACATATACTTATGAGTATCCACAAATTCAGAAATTTTCCACTGGCAGCATACTACCACCTAGTCTTAAAATGCACCTACGTAGTTAGCCTTAATGTGACCCACAGATTGCCAGTGACGTAAACCATGTAATGCGTACTCCTAGTCAGCCACATGAAACAAGACTTTGGATCAACATTGTAGAACTGATTTGTCAATATACAGCAGACAAATAGCCAAGGATATGGGAAGGGGTATTTTATTTTTAATGAATGTTCAACCCTAAATTCTTTTCACAGTCATAAAATTTGTGAACGAAGTTCCCTGAAACTGACGGCCTGCTTAATCCTTGGGCTATCAAAACTCTTTCACCGAATATATTTCAAGTTTTTTCTTTTCAGTTTGTTTTGACCTTCTGAATGTTTTGTGAATTTATCATGTGCTCTCACACCTTTTAAAAATGTTTTCAATCTGTCGTTTCCCAAGTAAAGAACGAAACAAGAAAAAAGTTACCCTGGATGAAAATAGACATATAAATGCTCAAAATATAGCACATTACTATTCCTAGGATACTTATATTGAATGGCAGATTTTTATACCTGATGAAAGAAATATGTAATTGTGAATCCTCATTTATTGAATCAACACCAAATACATGTGCCAAAAATGATTCTGCACCTGTCTTAGATATATGTAGAACTCTACTACCCTTTTCACAAAGAAGGAGAAAGTATTAGAACTGTATAAACTATATCCCAAAGTTGTGAAGTTACATGATATGAATATAGATAGTAAATTATGCTCGAAACGTTATCCAGAAAACAACACTGTTTCATAGCGTAATATTTCTAATAAACAGACTAAAATGGGATAAAAATTACTTTCCATCTATTTCTTATTTCTCTCCCCTTAATTATAATTCTCATTGGTTACTTTTTAAGTTTATTCCAGGGTAATTGGCATCTTTGAAAGTATTATATATCTCATGACATATAAATGGAATATGCCATGAAGATAAAGAATACTGGGTCAGAAGCCCATTCGGTTACAGTACGTCTAGTTCTGATAGTACGAATTCAAACTTCACTTGATCATGCTAATACCCAACATTGCTTCAGTATCAGCTACCAATATGTAACTACTTCTGTTAGGGTGCATGAAGAAAATCTTGAAACTATATCAATTTATTCAATTTGGCCATTTACAAATCAACGAATGCTGCTGAACACGTTTTTATGCCTTCGGTTTCCCATGATATTTGCGATTGCTTGCAGCTGACACTAGTGACAGTTGTCTGACACTTTTTCTCCAATAAAAGATGAGTTTTCCGGTAAAACGAAAATGGTTTGATTGACTGCAGACAGATAATAAGTAGCCTGTTCAGCAATGAACTTCTTTAGCCGTGTGGCTTGTACCCTAGAATTCATGTTACTTTTGGGTAGTTCCGGAATGAACTCATAATGTGAAACACATACTGAGGCAAAATAAGAGCTGGCCCTCATGAACGGTTGACTCTAAGCTTATGTAGTCGTTAGACAGTTATGTTAGTCTTTTTCTGCCTGTTTCAACATTCATTTTTCTGATATTATAGTCAGCTTTCATGTATTTTTAGAAACCAGGAAACATATTGAACAGCTGTTCAGTACATTCTATACGTCTCGACTTCCGTGCGATAAATCAGCCCTGTTTCTGTTACGAATAGTCTTATTAGTTGAATAGCTGATACATATCATATGAATTGCCAAAGAATTTCTAATTTTTGACCAAAATGTAGTTCTTTGTTAAAGTTTAGGATATAAATATCAAATTGGTTTGATGTATTCATTGACAACCCTGCCCGATTGACCCACCAAATGACAGCTCACACTAACCAGCTTACTTCTTCGATGGACTGCTCAACAAAACAAAATGAATAAAGTAACATTCTCTTGGAAATAATACAAAACCCATTTCCTGAAAGTAAAGAATCCTGGTCATTTTCATGTTTTGGAAACAAATCAAAAATTAGTGTTCTTAGTTTAATCCTCTCCGAATCGTCAGTCATCAGGTGAATGTAGGTTACATAATAATTAGTGTGTTGTATTCCCAAGCCTCAGGGTAAACATCTAGCCCATTGTCAAAGTAGGCTCTTTGTTGATGCCTACAGTTTTCTGTTGATTGTTATACTGAACGGAATCGAGTTATCTCGTTGTATTTAGTTGACTTTAACGTATACCTGAATATCATCTCATGTTTGATTCAAATTTTCGAGGTTGCAGAAGAATAACAATGGAAACCACGACACATTGTACCTGTTTCAGTGTAATAAGCATTGGGTACAACAAACACCAGTAAATAAAATCAGACACGCTTTGCAAAAGAGAAGCTTATCATGGGTTATGATTAAAGTTAGTCTCAATGAGAATATGTCAAAAGGTATTTTGTAATATTGATTATACTATCCTTTGAGAAATAAGCAAGCTGTATATATATTATAATATTATTTGTCCCTTGAGTTCCTAGCGGAACATACTGCTTCAGTTGCACGTCACCATTTCACTCAGTTCTTTGCAGTCTGGCTCCACCTGGCTCCACGACTCCCCACAAGCTTTCATTTCTTCCTCACACCATCTCCTCCATCTCATCCGCGTCTCGGACGCCCAGCTCCTCATTTTCCTTTCGAGGTCCACTCAAAGGCCTGGCGCATGATGTCCTCGAATAGTCTTCTCATTGTTTGTCCAGTTCAATCCATCTCCACTTTCTTCTACATATTTGTTGAGCGATGCGTTCCTGGTTGGTTAGTTGCCAGCCAGAGTCCCATATTACTTAGTTTTATCATCCTATCCGTCTGATCTTCAGTATCGAGTCAGCGTAGACAGCAGCTGTTGATGAATGACTGTAGTTTGTTGGAAATGTTTTTCGTAGAGCGCCAAGTCTCTCAACCATCACATAGAAGCACTTACATACTTGACATTAGTGTTCAAAAAACAGATCTTGTTCGTTATGCAGACTGCAGTGCAGTGCAGTGCAGTGCAGTGTAGTGCAGTGAAGTGAAGTGAAGTGAAGTGCAGTAGATCTCCACATTGATTTCAGATTATTGAAGGCCTGTCTTGCTGTATTTCTGATCCAGGCTTTAACATCCTCATGTGTGCCGCTGCCTGTATTTGAAACGATGCTACCTAGGTGGTACGTGACAGAGACTACTTCCTATTGATTTCTCCCGTTGATGGTGATTGGTGCTTGTTGTTGTTGTTGATATTTATGTAGTTGTAGTTTTAGTTGTTGTTGCTGTTGTTGTTGGGTGTCTCCATCACCTCTGTTTTCTCCATGCTCATCTGAATGAAGTCACATCTTCGATACCTCACACCTTCTGTCAACTTTTACTTTTCGAGTTTGTGCCACAAGACATTAGACAGTAATCATCATTGGCAAAATCCAAATCTTCTTCGAGGGTATTTCCATCCGTCCAGCCAGCGTATACCCCTCTTCGCACACCTCCTCATCCTCTCTTGCATGATCCGTTTCAGCACAGTCCAGTCGACCACAACCAGGAAGATCATGGGTGATATTAGGCGGCAACCTTGTCTTACTCCTGTCTTCACTTCAAACGCATCACTGAGCTTGCCATTGTGAATCACATGGCATGAAGCAGCTTGTTGCATATAGCTAGCTGTTGAATGAGGTTGTTGCAGATTTGTGGCACTGAAACCGTGGTGTTGAAGCAGCTGCCTGGCAAACTACTTCTCAGTTGACGCTGTCGAAGGCCTGTTCAAAGTCGATGAAGTTGAGATAGAGAGTTGACTGCCATTCCATGCTTTGTTCCATGATGATATGATGTGTAGCGTAGTTTTGCAATTTGATGTGCACATGATTTGTTCTTCCTGAAGCTAGCCAGCCTGTTCTGGTTGTTATTTTGAATGCAGAGCATTTGTGAGACTCTCCAGGATGATGCGGCCGAATATTTTGCTTGTGGTGGACAGGGACGGGAGCATGATTCCGTGCCAGTCCTTGCAAAGACTTCGGTCAGCCTCCTTTGATAGTTTGACAAGGTAGCCCTTCTTCCAGTCAATTGGCAGGTACCTTTCCCTCCTTCCTTCCTTCCTTGCAAGCCTTCTGCAATAGTGGTGTGGTGTGAGCATGTTCGCTGTTGTCTCTGCTTCTGTTTTCAGTGCTTCTGGAGGAATTCCATCTGGTCGTGCTGATTTCCGACTTACAGTGACCCAATGGCGTTCAGGACCTCGGTTTTTCGCTGGAGAGATTGTGTTGGCTGGTGATTCTGTGTGTGGGCTGTTGGTGGTGTTTGTGGATGAGTTGCATGTGATGGTGGTGGTGATCGATTC